AAAAGTGCAGTAGAGAAACTTTGAAGATAAGTTCAAAGCGTAAGATTCATTCAGATTAACACTTAAAGAAAGCTTTATAAAAAAATATGAATTGAAACATTCAGCCCCATGGAAAAAAAGACAAAGGAACATTATTTTCACGCTGGACAAAAGCATAAAACCATCATCGATAATTAACTCTTATAGTAGTCGATGAAAATTCAGTTTTATATTCCAGCCTCAAATCTCTGTCTGAGTATTGTAAAACTTCGGGTTGGAAAGGAAATTATTCATGGATGCTTAGGTAGCCCATACTGCTCAGCGACCGGGAAACTGCTCTATAATCACGTTTTTTTTTTCCACAAAAACTTTCCACTTTCCCTGTTAAACGGGACGGTTAAACTAAGACTCCGTTTTCAAAAAGGGTTTTGCCAATCCCCGGGACAATGCATCATCTAAACAAAATAAACAGGAAGCAAAGTCTGCGTTTCACTTGCATGAGAGATAACTGCACGCTTTTTTTTTGCAATATAGCCTCCTACAATCTAAAATGATTTTAAGTGTTCAGAATTTCCTCCGAAGCCTTTGATCTTTCTACTACTACTACTTTTCAGTGTGAATATACTTAACATATTTATGTTATCTTTTCCCCCATGTACTGTTCTAAGAAATAAAGTAATTTCTCGCTGATGGTACATAGGAATCCATAAATTGTCGGCTGCGGGTTTGTCCCGCCCTGTTCGTTTAAATATGAGTACTACTTTTTTTTCCATGCTGGAGCGGACGGATAGCGGGGGCAACCCAAATCTTAGATTCCACAGGTCTAACAAAAATGCAGAATGGAGGAAAAAGTCCTGGAATGAAAGATACTCAAATAATTGCATTGGGTATTTAAAACCCTCTTAAATGCAGCAGAGGGCGTCCGTGTGCGCAGTTTAAGTCCTGGTCAATGACTCACTTGCCTATTCTTCCACCAGTCAATTCCTGTCACTGGAAAGAAACACTGGTCCGTGCGGTTTGCACACACTTGTATACGTACCACTGACACGTAAGTAAATACTCTGGCCACGGACCGGCCCCCGCCCCTCCCAAATGCTCCAGACACCGCCGCCCAGATTCTTCCAGAGGCCAATACGCATTTTTCTAAAACACTGCACATACACATAAACATTCTTCCAAATACAAGGTTTGAAATGCACAATAGGAAATAAACAGAAGAAAATAATTAGTGCAAATAGCTCTTAACGACTGTACTTCAACTGGTAATTGCAAATAATAGATTGGGTGTAGTTTTAACATCATTGTTCGTCTCAAGGCCATCCTAAAAACAAAACCCACGAAGGGTTAAGCTTCCCATGGTAGATGAACTTCTGGCATTCTTGCATCTAAAGTAGGCATTACAAATCCTGTAACACTTTAACGAATGCTGCTGCAGACCAGTGACAGGAAAAGACAGAGCATGTGGAACACGTTTTAAAGATTTAAAATCCAATTTAATAATGCAATGACAAAACAACCTCTTGAAATTTAGATTGAACAAAGAACTGCGAATGCTGGGAAGCAAAAACAGAAGGGTTGTGAACAAGGGTCACTGGACCAGAAACTTTAACTCTGCTTTCTCTGCACAGATGGAGTTTCTCCAGCGAATTCCGTTTCTGTTCTTGAGATTTAGACTTGCCGTTTTTGGTTGTACAGGACATTAGTAAAGCCACTTTTACAATACTGTGTACAATTCTGGTTGCCCTTCTATAGGAAGGATGTTGTTAAACACAAGAGGGTGCAGAAAAGATTTAAAGGATGTTGCCAGGACTGGAGGGTTTGAGCTAATAGAGAGAGGTTATATGGGCTGGGGCTTTTTCTCCTGGAGCATTGGAGACCGAGGGATGATCTTTATAAAGGTTCATAAAATCATGAGGCATGGATAGGAATGGAACTAGGTCAGATTGGAATGTCTGGTTGGTGCAGATGAGTTGGATTGAAGGGTCTATTTCCATGCTTTTTGACTCTACAACTGTACTAAACTGTGATAAGAATGTAATGTCACTCAGTTCTGAATTACTCTGACAGCTTGGACTTAAAATAGTCCCGACTGTTTAGCAGTTGACAAAGCACAAAGCAAGTGGGAACATTTCTGTGAAAAGGAGGTTAAAGCTGAAACTATGTCTGCTCACATTCCTGAATTACTGCACGAAAGGAAGTGGAAATTGAGGTGAAATAACCAAAGATGCAGTGGTGGTTCAGAATGAGGGAACAGGGAACAAAGAGAAAAAAAAACAATAGAACCATAAATGGAGATGGTCTGTATCTGTTTTAAATTAGTGCCTCAATTTAATGAAGCTTGTTTCCATCAAATTATACTTACATAGTGCAGGTCTCATGGCTCAATGGGGATTATCCCTACGTCTAAGGAAAAAGCTTCAGGTTTGTGCACCAACCAGGACTTGTGACTAAGGATCATATGTTCATAATGTGGGCAAACTGGTTGAAAAGCAACTTGCAAATCAGTCCATTGCACGTCCATGGCAGGTGGTAAGAACATAAAAGATTCCTGGTTAGCCAAGTGATGTAAAGAACAGTGAAACCTCTACCATCATTAGCAGTAGTTCCAGATTGCAATATGAATGTAAAAGTGCATGCTGCCAAAGCAACTGAGATTCTGAGTGAACGATAACACACCATGTTTTCATCGAAGCTAGATATACACATTAAATAAATGATTTAAACTTGTTGAGACTGTCTGATTGTTTCATCTCACATAATTTGGCAGTGATGGCCTTCATCTTTCCTGCTGTATCTTACTTGCACTGCAATTCCATAGGATTGCTGCTCATTATACTTCACAGTTCGCAACCTTCTTGCCACATTAGAAGTGAACCATCTGACATTTGTATTATCAGATCACCAACACAAATGTATGCTGCACATTTAATAATTGCATTTCTGTTACCATGGTGACATCAAAGGAACAGCTGGTGCTCCCATCAACAAAGTAATCTCTGTCTCGGATAGAGAGGGGTTCTTTGATTTGATATTACACACAAATTTAAGTTTGAGCTTCGTATGTTAGGTTGGTAAATTTTAAACTTCCCTGGCAATACTCCAGTTAGTTTTGAGAAGTTCAGAGATCCTACTGACTGATATATCCTTTGTAACTTAGGCATAACATTAGTAGAAGTTCCAATTTATATTTGTAGGATGCTTCACAATGAGTATGAAGTGGGGATTTAATGGGTTTGTGCATTTTTCCCCAATTAATTCCTAGGTGTGTATCTCATTATTAGCAAAAAGTAATTATACTGTAAATATGAAAATTATTACAAAGGATGTTATTTAATCCATGATCCATTCAAAGAAAAGACGAGTAATATCAGCATATTATGTTGTAGATAGTACTTGCTGAATTTAAATAAAACACTTCTTTTCAAAAATACAATCCAAACGTTAGCAGAACCAATAATAATTCACAGCCATTCAATCACAACCATAGAGTGTAGTAATAGAATTAATTTTATAATTATTGATTTGTAGAAATATTATTTAGTGCTGAATTATGACGACATTGAATCATCTCACTAATGTGTAATAATCTTTATTTGAAACTAATTTCTAACTCCATGTTTTTTAGCTTTACAATTTAGTTTTCTTTATGCCAGACAACATTCCATTACAAATCAATGTTAGAAAATCAGTATGAAAGTTCAGATAATTACTTATTGCAATTGTCTAGCCTCTCAAAGGATGGCCCGTATCCATGACTATACTACTGCCAAAGTGAATATTTTGTATACAAGGTGACCTGAGTTATCAGCAGTATCCCTGAATTTGTGATTGTAGAATTGATGCCACAGCCATATGCACAAACGTTCTGTATTTATTCCCTTTACATAATTCTGCAGATAACAAATATGAGATTTATCATGATTCTGTAAACTATTATTTATTGTATATTTTACATTGAACGTTCTATGTATCTTATTGTATGTACCAAATATTCTCTTTATACAAAACACCTAACATTGAATGCTGAATGTAGCATTGAGCAGCAATAGTTGGAATGCCAGCTGTCGCTGTCACTGTCACTACATTGAATGTCTAATACACCTAATGTTGTTGTCCTGATTCCATGAACAAAATATATTATCAATTCAGTAATTTGCATTGAAAATACTCAATTCATTTCAATAAATCCATTGCACAAATGAGGGGGAAGGGATTTAAGATATGGGGGCAGACAGGGAGAAAGCTGTGTGCAATTTCAACATGAACCTAGAGTTGTGGTAGATTCAATCTTACTTAATACCCAATTTTTAAACGGAATGCACTGTATACTTTTCTCTAGTTGTGCAGTGTAGAATGATTGGAGTATATGAAAGTTGTGATGGAAGGTGTACACGTTTAAAAACAAATTCATATCTGGCCTACTCTTTGTATGATGCTGGCTGTTGGTTATTTTAAAAATTTATTGCAGGTGTTGAGTTTTAACTTTCCCTTGCACGGGGTTGCAGCAGATTTTGCAACCGGCCGATATTCTTTATCTGTTGGTCACCCAACGTCCAACCTACTTTCTTCCCTGGATACCAGCAAGGGCTCGAGGCCACCGGCTCACCTGATGCATCGCGGGTAAGCAGACTACAACTCCCAGGGGGCACCGCGGCGGGCCCCGCCAAGCATGCGCAGTGAGGGGTCCCTCCCTCCCTGGGCGTGTTCAAGATTTAAATAAACAAGGAGCAACATGGCGGCGCTTTTCCTCGGCTTATTTAGAGAAACGAAGGTCAGGATACTGGAATGTTCCTCCGAGTAGCAGGCAGCTCGGTAAGATGGTGGTAGAGCGGGGGTGTTTAGGTGAGGGGGAAACGATTGTTTTGTGGATTTTTTAAATTACAGATCTATTGTGTTTTAAAAAAAATTTCTTCCACATCCCCCTCTCTTCATCCTCTTTGTGGAGAATCCTCTTTCTCCCCGCCCAGGCCCGCCTTCAGCTCTGTCCCGGACTGAAGTTCACCTGAGAGCCTCCAACTAACCTGTCAGTTGGAGGAAGATTGCAGCGCACGTTGCCTTCCCCCGTTCGATGAGGCCATGTCGCCTCGACGCTTTTTCTTCTTTCGCGTTCTTCACCACCACCACCACCACCATCATCATCATCATCATCATCCAGCACACACGCAGAGAGGGGGAAAAAAATCTTGTTTCGGGACAACTTAATGACTGAGGCTGAACTTCGGAGCTTCGGGTCCGCCCCCGTCTAGCAGCCATTGGCCCCCCCCCCTCCGCCTCCCCGGTGCGCCCTCCCATGGGCCGAGACTCCTGTCAATCGACCTGTCGCCATAGCATCTTGTCGCTTGTCAACGTTAGTTTGGGCAAGGGTGGGGGGAGAGATAAGAGGAGCAAAAAAAAATTATTCAATCGTGGGGTCAGTTTTCTTTCAAAATGATTTTTGTTCCCCATAAAAGGCGATTCGTCCACTATGTCAGCCCCTTTCTGCATGCCTGTAGTATGCACTGAAATAAATGGGGGTGGGGAGGAGTGCTGGAAGTACTTCTCCATTAAATGCTTCACCATGAGTTGAAACCTAATTCTGAATACATTAGGATGCCTGCGGTCTTTTTGTTTAGGTTTTTTTTCTATAAATACGCTTGTTCAAATTTGTCACGATCATGGTTATCTGTGAGCGGCTATAACTGGGACAGCTGTATTTTTCTGTCTTCATTTTAGTAGCATGTTCACTGCTAGTTTTTGTGGCTATCCAATGCGCATTGTATGTTACCATAATCTATTAATGCATGTTTTAAAGCTTTCATCTGCATTATTCCTTTTATGCTCGTTGTCATAAATATGACTCGTTGGGTGCGATTCTAGTGGCTTACCGTCTTTATGCTGAAATAATTATCCTTCAGGAGAGCTAGGAGAACGACCGTAAAGAAGGAAGGTGTGGTATTGCTCTTTGGAGGTAAAACTGTCCACATTTTCCCCTGAGTTTTTATTAATAGGGTTGTTCGATAGTGATTCGGAGCATCCTGTTTCTATTTATTCACTCTTGATCATGATGCTGTAAAAGTTAACCATCTATTATCACTTGTCCTGCCTGAGATTGTTCAACCCCTGAACCGATCAGGAACTGAACATTAGGAGGTCCTCATCAATACAGTATAGCTGTCTTACCCATTGCAGAAAAAGGAAAATAGACAAGACGCACTTTAAATATATTTCCGTCAATGGAGCACATGGTTCTGAGGTATGGGTTTTCAAATTAGTCTTCAGTATCTGAGAGGATCCCAGGAAATCTCCAAGGTCATCCAATTTCTGAATTTCGCTCTCAGTTGACTTGTTAACATGACATTTCCATTAAAATTAAAATTTCTATTAAAACACTTCAAATTATTTAATGTTTTCCTTCGGGTAACCAACCGTGGCCTTAAGTGTGTCAATATTTGTTAGTAATCTTCCACCCAGAAAAGTTGAAGATCAGGTTTAAGGGTGAAATATTTTGTACCTCACCCAAGTGTATCCAAAATATCGCTTGTATTTCATTAAGGTTCGCTCAAATAGTTTCTGTATTTGTATAATTTTTATCAACAGTAAAACTAGTGTGAAATGAGTACATTAATTTCTCTGCAGCTGTAGTCCAAGTGTATTTGCCGACAGAGAAAAAATACACAAGATGCACGTATGCTTAAAACATATGTAATATAACTTGACGGCTATTTTTAGAAGAGTTGCTCAGAAGGTCGCAATATGTATTATGTTGTTTGCAATTTGTTTCAACTATGAATTAATTGTGGTGTTTATTTGTTGGCTTCGGTTATAATTTCTAGCGGCTGTCGATTTATAAATACCATAGTGTTTAAGTATGTTTTAAATCAGTGATTATACCTGCAGCTTGTGCATTAAAAGAGCGCAACGTTGTTTGTTGAGCAGGATAATTCAACGTGACAGTTCCTTGATAGCTTGCTTCTAATTGTAGCTGTGCAAGCAGCAGTTGGATAGGTTCCTGGGTTGTCGTCGGGTCTGGTGACAGCGTGCAGAGGGGCTTCTGCTATTGGCTTGTTTGCTGATAGCTCTCGTAAGCCGCTATCATTGGTTTGTCTGTTGAGACCCTGTTGATAGACAGCTGCTAACGTTCTGGTGGGTTTGACATGTACATCTTGTTTGGATGCCATTATTGGCAGGCCTGTTAGAAGAGCCTGAAGCGACTTTTCAGAGAATACGAAGCTAAATGATGTGTTCAGTATTTCTGTGAACAACGCCTGTTTAGAATCTTCTCTCTGGTTTGGTCATTTTTTGAAAAGGTACTGAACTATTTTACACTTGGGTCAAAAGCCCTTTTAGATGACGATGTGGTTCGTAATGTCGTTCAAATGAACCAGTGCATTTTTTTTTTGCTATTTTCTTAACACTGGGAACTGAGAGGACAAAATGAGGTAGGGCAGGACAATGCTAGTTGAGATATTGAATGAATACCGACTACATTCGATAAACTTAATACAGATGCGTGAGAAGTATATTTGCTGAGTGCCAAAATTTCGAACGGAACACTTAACCTTCCCATGATTAAGAATCACTCGCTTTCTTTTCGGCAGGGCACTTGCTGACTTTTTCAAAGCTGACATTTTAAAATAAAAATGAATTGTAACATTTTTAACGCTAGTGGCGGGTGGCGGGGGGCGGTGGGAACAATCGTTTTCAAGTCTCAAGTTTTAGTAGTACACCTATTAAATGTCTGAACCAAACTATAAAACAGTTTTATTACAATTTTGATACTTCCTAGGCTAGTGTTGCAAATTGTCTGGGTGTGTTTCTCTTTAATGGTGGCTGTTAAAACACTTTGCAGACAGTATTCTGCATTTCAGCCGTCGTAGCTCTCAGTTTTGCTTCCGTATAGTTTTACCTGTATGTGTTTGGTTTAGGAGATGGTGATCAATCTTCCTATCCCTTCAGATTGTTTTGAAGACTCTGGATCAAACCACCAACGACTGCAACTTACATACAGTTGTTACGTCAGTCTGAAACAGCCAAGGATGTCGTTATAGCAACACCACTAGATGACCTCGTGTAGTGTTTAGTTTGACTGCAGTTACTATCAGAAGCAGTTAGGCAGAGCTAGCTGGGTTACTGTACTGTATCTATAGCCACGTGGGTGCTGGAAATTTTTTTCTGATAGGCTGTGTCCTGTTTTTTGCAAATTTGTACAAGTGTGTTCTATTTATAAGATAGGATGATCACATCGATGAGTATTGGCGGCGTCTTGTGGCTTGGTTTCAGAGCGCAGTTTGCAAAACAAGATTTTTAAAATAACTGCCGCAATAACCGGCATTTTAAGAATATTTTCATTACTTCATTATATCTATTTTAAAGTTTTCATCATGGTACCTACGTCTATGAGATACTAAGACATATCGTCTGACTTATTGAATATTACTTTTATTTTCCATATGCATTTTGTAGTGGCATCTGTCTCCAAGACAGGAGCCAGATCCTAGTTTGGTAGAATGTTGTGAAATCTGTATTTAGTACATGGTTAAATCAATGTAAATATTTCATATTTACAGTGTGGCTTTTTAAATTATGTGAGCAACTGTTGATTTATTATTTGCGTCTTTCTCATTCCGGCCCCCATTTTGTAAAGTTCATTTCTCCTGCTTCCTTCCTTGGGTTGTTTAACATTTCTGTGTACTATACCTGGCACCTAAAATGTAAGCCTGTTAGGTGGTTGACCTAATATGTCATCAGTAACAGTTTTGCTGGATTTCTGCAGTGGGCTACAGAGGCACAGTAACAGAGTTATTTCACTGAACTGCTTGCTTGTATTGCTATATTAATGCAAAATTCCTTGAAGAGAAACTACAGATCACTGTACATGCACAATATGTTTACACGTTGCTGAACGTTTTGCAACATAAGAACAGTAGTATTTTTAAAAGAAGTACATTTTGTGCATTATCAGGTTATCACCTCCACTTTTTGCACAGCCTCCCAGTGTTTCATTTCTTTATATATCCAGTTTCCTTTCGAAAACTACTGTTGAATCTACTTCGATCCTATTAGATATGCATCCCAGGTTTTAACATTGAGTTACATTAAATTACAAGTAATTTGCTTTATCTTGGTTGTCCTTCCTCACCAAACTTTTCAAACGAGAGGTGTAGTTCTTAAATGATAAATGTAATGGCAATTTGTTCTTGAATCAGAGATTCAGTTTAATGTAGCTTAACAAGTGGCTTTTTTGTGAATCCAATTAGTTTAATTTACTTTGGATGAAAGCTACAGGTACCTAGGTATAGCCCTTGCATCCTGTTGTCATACATAGTTTGCATCCTCCTCCTCCAACCCCCCCACCCCTAAACTTCACAATTTCTTGGCTGAAGATGCAGGGAGATGCCCAAAGACTGCAGTCAATGTTGCTTTCAGCCTGATTAGTAGTAAGAGCTTGGATCACTTATTTATTTTTTCTATTCTTATTTCCCTCCCCTCAAAATACACAGATGTTTAGTAATGTAATAGTTTTGTGTATATTATATCTTCAACTTTAAAATTCAAGCTATTATAATGAGAGATCAATTTGAAGTATCCACGCTGCTTATGGAATAAAGTTCTGATCATTTTTTTCACAATGCAGCATATTTGACAGCAATACAGAAAAAAATGATAAGTCAAATTTGATTTTATCATTGGTCAGAACTTTTGTAAATCGCTATACTGTACAATAGGAACTGAATTTCACTTTGTCCAAGATCCTGAAAAGAAATCGTAGAATCATTGCTATGTCTTAGATGAAGTAATGAGATGCACACTGATGTTGGATACATTTAGTTATTTTGTCAGTATTTGAGCTTTGCATAGACTGTTGTAGGTCTTGTTGAACAAATATTTAATCTGCTTAGCTGTGTAAATAGCTGATAGTGTAAAGAAAATTGCATGGAAAGATGCTACTTCAGCAAAATTGGGGTAGGATTGTGATAGGATTGATATACATTTAAAAAAAAAATTGCAAGACTTGTCCACATCTGCAAAATCTACTAAATGATGTAAGCTACCATTATCCAAATGGCTAAAAGCAATTTATTTAACTTCTTTTACTATTGCCCTTTCTTCTTTCTCCTCTTATTCATCCCCAGCACCACTGTCACCTCCACCCAAGTGAGGTTTGCAAATGTTTTTGGCCTTTTTATTTATCTGAATCTGAAGTCATATCTGCATAATGGGATTTATCCAATTGAATTAAAACAGTAAGGTG